TTTTCAATGCTGCTAAAAGCTAGCAACTGGCTTGCCTTCTTTCCTTTCCTTCTCTCTCTTTCTCTCTTTCTTTTCTTTCTCTCTCTCTCTCTCTCTTTTTAATTTTTAACGACCAAAACAAAACATCTGAAACCACACCTTTTGGAAGAGCTACTGTTCTTGCCCATCTTGTACCTCTCTTTGAATTTGACCTTGGCCTTCTGCTGGGCCTTGTGTTTAAGAGCAGGGTCTCTGAAGACATCCTTGTTAATGACAGTTTTGTCCATGGGGATAGCCACAGAGTACCTTGTGGGTATCAGGTGGTTGTAGTTGTAAACTTTCACAAAAGACTTGATCTTTGACCTCTGGGTGCTCTTCTTGCCCATGGGAAGCTGTCACCTTGCAGGGATAATGGTCAATTTCAGCCACCAGAGAACAGCTGAAGGGGCATTCTGAGGTGTCATCATCAACATTCTTCATGATGATGGGTTTGTATGCTGAGTAGCATCCGGTGTAGTGTCTGGCCTGGACTAACACTGCTTTCCCAGGTTTTATGAACTTGCCCATTTTGACAGCAACCACCCAGGCCTACCTTCATTTTCTTGAAAGGAAGTGAATCTACCTCCGACTTGGTTGATTTTTAAGGCATATTTTTTTGAGCAACACAGATTTCATGCAGTTCACAGTCTTGTCAAATGTTAAAATTTGGACATCTCTGCTGCCCAATTCCTACCAACAAAAGCTTAATTAGAAGACTTAGCAGTTCTAATCGACAGCTGGACATATCGTTCTTTTTTTTTTTTCTTATTCTTTTTAGAGACAAGTTCTTGCTCTGTGACCAGGCTGGAGTGCAGTGATGTGATCGTAGCTCACTGTAACCTTGAGTTTGTGGGCTTGAGTAATGCATCCTACACCTTAGCCTCCACTAAGGATATATTGTTCTGTCATTACCCTAGCACTGTTCTCCAATAGCACTTTCTGAAATGAGGGAAATGTTCTTTAATTGTGTGTCCATTATAATAGTCACTAGCCATGTGTGGGTATGGAGTATTTGAAATGTGGCTCTTAAAACAAAATAGTGGTACTGAAAATTTTTTAATGAAATTGTAATTTCTTTCTTTCTTTCTTTTTTTTTTTTTTTGACAGAGTCTCACTCTGTCACCAGGTGCCATGCTGGAGTGCAGTGGCACAATCTTGGCTCACTGCAACCTCTGCCTCCCGGGTTCAAGCAATTCTACCTCAGCCTCCCAAGTAGCTGGGACTGCAGGCACACGCCACCACACCCAGCTAATTTTTGTATTTTTAGTAGAGACGGGGTTTCACCATGTTGATCAGGATGGTCTCGATCTCTTGACCTCGTGATCCGCCCGCCTCAGCCTCCCAAAGTGCTGGGATTACAGGCTTGAGCCACCACGCCCGGCCTAATTAATTTCTTTAAATAGCCACTCATGCTACTGGCTACCATAATGAACAGCACAACTGTGTAATTCTAAATTTTGTTCCTGAATCAAGCTGAAGTATTTCTTCTTTGCTTTTCAAAGAATAGCACTTATTGAATAGCAAATTTCTATTTTTTTCCTAAATCATGGTTTTAAAACATAGTCTCACGTTCTTGGACACTCCTCCATCAAAAAATGGGGACTAAAATACCCTTGCCTTGAATATAGGTCTTAGTAACTCGATTCTAGCAAATGGAACGTGTTAGAGTGATACCATGTGATTTTTGAGGCTAGCTCATAAAAGGTGATCAAGTTGACTTGGCTGTCTCCTCTCAGCGCTTGAGCTTCCGTGTAAGAGTTCTAACACTTCCATGCTGGAGTCACGTGGAGAGACCACCGAGAGGTATCTGAAGAGGATCACCTGCTCTACCCCCCAGCTCTCTGAATCTTCCTAGCTTAGGCTCCAGGTCAGTTCAGACTCAGTCACTTCGTGATTACACTTCTGTAATAGACTCTAAGTGAGAATTGCTTAGCTTCGACCCCGCTATCTCCTGTAAGATAATAATACACAATGTTGTCACTTTAAGCTACTGTTTTGGGATTGGGCCGCAACAGATAACTGGAACACTCTTTTGTAGAAGGATGCTACAGGAAATAGTTCTACAAAACTTTCTGGTGTATTCATTGTTGGGATTTTTGAGTACAAAGTTTACTACATCAATTTCTCTTGAATTTTAATGACAGGAAAATCTGTATTTTCTTGAGCAATCAGTATATTTTTACTTTAATACATTTTTGCTTTGGTTGCTAGGAAGCTCAAAGCTGAATTTTTGTCCCACTTTGTAAGTAAATAGGACCATCAGTAATTTATTTCTGTGTGTTTGCTTTATTTGGCCTTATCTTAATTTTTTTAAAAAATTTTATCGTTTTTCTTTTAAAGACCTTAATATAGTGTATATATTGTCAAGCCACTTCCAAAAGTGAATGCAAATGATGTTGGGCTTTTGCTGAACCAGGGTGAGCTGTAAGATCATCCAGTAGATTAGCAATGATGGCTGAGACAGTTCTGGCATTTTATAACTCGTCAATGACCTTATTTTATAGGAAGAAAATAAGGCTCTGAAAACTGAAGTAACTGCTGAAATATACAGAGCGAGTGAGGAGCAAAATTTCAGCCCGGGAGAAGCTGTGTCTTACTACTTGTTCAGCTGTATAGCGCCCACTGGTCAGATACTGATTCTTTGTTAAGTGTCAGCTCAGGGCCTGGTTGCTTGAGGATGGGTTGGTGATAGAAAGATAAATAAGACTCAGCTGAGGAATTGAATCTCCAGATTATGCCTGGTGGGACATAGTACATGTGTTTAAACATAAAGTAATCTATGACATAAAAGAGGCACAAGCGAGGCTTTTTGAATCTTCAGAAGAACGAGAGATCACTTCAAACTGGGCGATCACGAAAGCTTCAGGAAACAGTGATACTGAGCTGGGCCTGGAAGGATGGAAATGCTTCACACGTGGAGGTATTAGGCGAGATGATGGGGAGAAGGAGGAGAAGATTAGCTGCTGCGAGTTGAATACTGGGGATTTTAGGACCTGTGGCATTTGTTGGGGAAGATATTTTGAGCAGTAAGGATTGTGATACATCTCAAATTACACCAGGCAAGTAGTTGCTTACTATTCTGTTTATGGGATCAGCCCTAAGCCCTGCTAAGGGCATGCAATCTGCAAATGTGGATGGGAAGGACGAGAGAGAGAGAGAGAGAGAGAGAGAGAGAGAGAGAGAGAGAGAGAGAGAGAGAGAATGCTAACTGCTAACTAAATCTTCTACATAGCTGACTGCTCAGAAAACCCAATACATGGGATTATGTTCTGAAGTAACTGCCTAAGACCTTTTATCAACAAATAGTTTTCAGGCTTTGGTATGATTCTATAACATTTCACAGCGCTGCAAACACGGGGCATTTCAGGACACCCCTGAGGAATGCAGCAGCATTCTCAGCTTCCTCTTAGATGGCCTTGCACATCTTACAGCCTCCTTGTGACCACAGGAGCCTGGTGATCATGGAGCAGTAAGCCCAGCAAAGCCTAAGAGTGGGGCTCTGGAGGGTCAGGTCTGCTTTTCTTTTCGGAGACTGAGGGATTTGTTACAATTAGTAACAGGTGGTTTTCCTGAAATTCTGCAATTAGCTCTTGAAATAGGGAAACCTCAGATCACATGGGTAGGATATTGCTAACGAGGTGAAAACTTACCTGGGCGATTTAAACAGGTTCCTGCCAGTTTCCTATAAGTGAAAGTTTAAATAATCCTCCTTTCTCAGGAAGACCAAAATCAATGTCTGATTACAGCAGAATTCAATGCCATCTGCCCGATTCTTCTAGGCTCATGAAACCCACAGAAGGCAGGAGCTCAGGTGGGTAAACCATGGTGAACTGATTCAGAATGCAACTTCTCATCTGTTTTCCATAGAGTGTTTCCAACAGTATAAATCAACAATAATCACAGTTGCTATGCTAGGGTTGTGCAATGCTGTGTAGCTGATAAATCACTTTCACCAACATGTCTTATCTAATCTTCATAAAAACTCAATGAGGTGAATATTGCTCTCCTGCTTTTACAGAGGAGAAAACTGAGGCACAGGTAGCTAAAGCAAATTATCTTAGATCTCTCGATAAGTGTGTATTAGTGATTAGGGTTTATGTCTGGTCTTAGAAGTTCATTTGTGCTCTTGAGCAAGGTCCAAAGATGAAAGGCAGGATTGGGAAATTGTAGGCGAAAGGGTGAGTTGAGAGCTGCATTGGATAAACATCTGATTATCTAGGGAAAGGCTGTCCCCAGACAGGGCCAATCTTTTACCAGGTCTGCTCTCTACTTGGGAAGGTAATCAGTGGCAGAGACCCTCACATCTGGGAGTAACCAAAGTTATGTGTTCAAATCCTTTATTTTTTCAAATGAGGCAGTAGAGTTTCAGTGAAATTAGGTGGCTTGTAAAGAGCCACACAACTAATGTGATGAAAATGAGATCGTTACGCAGTTTTCTACGCTTACACTGTAATTTCTGCCACTGCATCTCGATGCTCTTCCTGTTACTCTCTCTTCTTTCAATTAGATAGAAGTGTGTTTACGATGTAAAGTGATTGGGCATTTGTTAGGTAAGTGGAATAAAAGTAACAATTGCTACTATTCATTGAACAATATGCTACACTGTGTGCTAGATACTTCTCATGCATAATTTTTCATCTTCACAAGAATTCTGCGGTCTCTCTCTCTCTCTCTCTCTATATATATATATATATATGGATATAATTTTGAGACGGAGTTTTGCTGGAGTGCAGTGGCATGATCTTGGCTCCCTCTAACCTCTGCCTCCTGGGTTCAAGCTATTCTTCTGCCTCAACCTCCCAAATAGCTGGAATTACAGGCACCTGCCACCATGCCCAGCTAATTTTTTTTTTTTTTTTTGGTGCTTTAAGTAGAGACAGTGTTTCATCATGTTGGCCAGGTTGGTTCTGAACCCCTGACCTCAAGTGATCTTCCCTCCTTGGCATCTCAAAGGGCTTGGATTACAGGTGTGAGCCACCACACCCGGCCTGGCAAAGTCTCTATTTTTATCTCTGAGGATATGGGGACCAGTGATGAGGAGGGACTTACCAACACCATTTTGAGTCCATGCTCTTTCCGTTGTGCACTGGGGCCTCTGCATTAATTTATCTCTTGTCCTAGAAAGAAGAAATATTTGAATTTTTTATGTGGTCAAATATTTTTTTGGAAATCATTAAAATTTAAATTGTGTTTATTCCTACAACTATATCTGATTAAAAAGGGAGATAAGGGAGATGAATCAGTTATCACCTTTAAACAGAGTCTTTAGAAGTCTTGATTAATAAGTGTTTTTTAACATGAAGGAAAACCAACATTTTTTTAAGAACTATAATTCAAGTCATATGCTTAAGTAATTGTTTTTAAAAGAGAGACTTTTGTTTTTAACCCTTATGCATCTAGTACTCCAGCACAGAGTTCTAGAGGCACTTTTGTATTAATTAGTTCTTTCCTTCAAATTCGAATGCCTTTAGAAGAGCTAAGGATATTTATCATTTAAACTCAGAGTTTGGTATACTTTCTTTCTCTTAGCATCTGTCATATGCCTTCCAAACTGAAAAAAAAAAGGGGGGGAAGCTTTTTTTTTTTTTTTTTTTTTTTTTTTTTTTTTTAATTATTTTTTTTTACTTCATTGGAAATAATATCGTAGATGTGGAACACTGAGCATTGCGCCTCCCAGGAAGGATTTGGATCACCGATGGGAAGTATGAAATTGCTTAGGCTTCGGAACCAGAAGGGAAAGGGTGCCAGGAGGTGGAAAAATCGTACTGACAGGGATGTGGCTGTTCCTGGCCAGTGTGCCCTGAAATCCTAATGTGACATAGGTGGCTAATTACTGGTTTAACTTTCTGGCCTTGTCAGGCACTGTCTAGAGGTGTCATAATGTGTCCTTCAACGTGATTCCAGATACAATACCTCCGTCATTTGACGCCATCTCTTTTAACATGGATCCTTGGCTTCCGCCTGCACAACGTGGCATGGTCACATCTCCCACAGAAATGGAGAAAGAGCCTTCTTGCCTGAAACAGCAGGTACTTTCGTGAAGTTCATTGTGATGGTGCTTTTTATTTGGCTGTCTTGGCCTTTTACTTGTTTTCTGACCCTTGAACTGGCATTGCTCTCTGGTGCCTGTGGGTTTCCTGGTTTCTAATTGCCAGCTTGGTTTTTAACCTACACACTTAATCTGGACTCCTGATATGCATGTGATTTCTGACTGCTCATTTGGCTCAGAGCCTTATTGACTTTTCCTGTTCTCAGTCCCGCCTATAATTCCTAGACTTGTTATGTTTTTCTACCTGGCTTCCCACCCTGGCTCTGGGACTCTATTGGATCAACACCAGTCTTGATCCAATAGAGAGACTCGGGCTCATTGGGCAGCCAGGTAAACAAAAGGACTGGTGAAGGGGCTGACGAGCTCACATCTTCATCTGGCATTTTGCACAATTCTCATGGCCTTTCTGATCACGGAGTTGACTCTATGTAATAAGAGTTCAAAGAAGGCTTGAACAGAAAAACATTTTGTAATCAAGATGCAGTAATTGTTATTCTTTTCAGTTGTTGAGTTAGCTACTCCTCTGTCAATTGTAACACAGAGTTCCTAATTTATATTGAATTCCTGTGGTGTCCTGAAATTGGGGTCAGTCTACTTTTCCAAAGAAGACCAGACATATTTCTGTGACACAGGATCTTTGATATAGAATTCATGGGTAATAATTTCTGCTGCTCCTTCCTTATTCTAAAAGTGAACAAAAGTCAGTTTTTCACACAGGTGAAGTTACCAAAGTTGTAGTAGTTACTAAAGGTGTAGTAACTTTACTTGTGTGAAGTCCTACCTTATCTCAATAGGATATCATGAAAGGAAGGAGAATTTCCACATTCAAGATAACGCATCCAAATCAAGATCTTCAGTTAGGAAAACCAGACTCGGTATCAGATCCTGGCATAGCTCCGGCACGTTGTCTTGCAGGCATGTTGAGAATATACAACTATGGGTGACCTCTTGGGCAAAGGAGCTCAAGATTAACTTCTTGTCATTTTCCACAAATGTATCAATGCATCTGCACAGTAAAATGGAGTGGATTTTCAAATATCAGTTCTTTCAAACCATTGTTCTTAAGAATTCATTTTGAGTTTATTTCTAGAATTTTAACTGATCATGACGACAGATAAGTCTGTGAGTCATTGTTATCTCTTAGAAGCTCATGATGATTTTAAGGGCATGTTGCAATCCCTTTTCTAACCAAAATCAAGCAATTTCAGGTGTGGCCCTTAAAATAGTTAATTTCCACAATGTTCTACTTTTCATGCTCCACTTGCAGCTGATTTGTGAGCTGCAGGGTTTGGTGGGGTTGGGAATGCTGACCTCAGGGAGGATTTGGGACAGTGCCTGGCAGTCACGTGACACAGCAGCGCTTCCTTCCCATCATTAACTTGGCATTGACTGGACAAGCAACAGGGCACCATTCCAGGTTTGTGCTGAAATTCTCTGGTGTCCTTTGAAATCTTAAGCAACAATTTCCTACAACTGTGCAACTCAAGAAGCCTGATAAACAATGTGTTTGGCATTCTGTTCCTGGAAATCTCTCTTACAGAGGCCACCTATAGGTGTTCTAGAGTTGATCAAGGGTCAGATGCCACAGAGGCTACCAACTAAGTCTGTGTGGCAATAAAACACATCCTATATAAGTGGAGACAGAGATGAGAAGGGGAAAATCCAAGCAGGATTTAGAAACAACTCAAAGGATGTATAGCTCAGGCAACCAAGGTCATGGAGAGCAGAATAAAGCACCAAGAAAAGAGTTCCTGATAAACCAGTGCAGTAATTGGAAGTGTTTGTGGTGATGTGAAGAAGGCCTCTGGAGGTCTCCAGGGTGAGTTAAGCCAAGCAATCAACATGTCAAGGTAATTTGTTAGCAGTTCTGGCTTTGGGTCCAGGTGTATCAACCTGCCTGCTGTGATGTATGAAGACTGCTAATGTGAGGAAACTTGGCCATAGAAGGACAGCAGCAAAGTGATGCCTGCTTGGAACTGACAAGAGACACCACCGGTATCTGTACCTGTAACATCTGCCCCATGAAGGTAGGCCCTAATTACAAGCCACTTATCTAGATGGAGGTTGGGTATGTCCTCTCTATATGACTACAGGATACTTTCAGGTTACCCTGATCTTGCTGGGTAGTTCTTATGAAAAGGGGCTCTCAAAGAGCTGCAAAATAGTAATAAAGGCTTTAATGAAGGTGCATTTCTACAGGCCAAGCAGACAGTAGCTTGCCCTCTGAATCCACAACACATGTGCCCACTCCTCACAATCTCAATCAGACCATACTGGTGGTGCACACTTTTCATGATCTCATTAACCCTGCAGTGACTCTGCTGTACACTTGAACAATCTCATGGAGCCCAGACTGACTGGGTACAGTCTCACCTTCCCACTGAGCCCCCATAGGTTATACACCACACACCACATTGCTACTCTCACACTTGGCTCTGTACATTTCTCACTCTTCTGCTAAGCTCACACCCCTCTACCATCTTAGTGATTTCATATCCACTCTGCACTGAGCTCAGCTGAGATCACATGGTCCACCTGATTGACTTCACACAGACTGTACAATGCTATGACAGCACCCACTCTTTGCCCACTCAATGTCTGTTTTTCTATTCTTCCTAGAAATAAACTCTGGTGTTACTCCAGGTGGTGATATGCACAGCTAAGAGACAACATTTCCTAGGCTTCCTTGCATTCTTATAACATTTTGTTATATGATTAAGTTCCAGCCAATGAGATTTGAATGGAAGTTTTTGGGTAGGACTTCTGAGAGAGTTCCTTGAAGTGAGACAAAATTCTGGGGTCTAATCTTTTGACCCTT